GAAGGAAGGAAGGAAGGAAGGAAGGAAGGAAGGAAGGAAGGAAGGAAAAGAAAGAGAGAAAGAAAGAGAGAAAGAATCAAAAATAAGTACTGCCCTAAGGAGAATTCCAACTGTGTGGTACTATGCTCTCATAGTGTGTTCCCTTGTCCATCTGCAGGACTGTCTGCATTTCTGTGCAGCTCCTCAAAACAGCCCTTCCTACTTAGCTTGTGGTATCTTGGCACCTAGGAAAGAAGCATTCATCTGAAAAGCATCTTAGCAAGAGTGTAAAAACCTGGAGGAGTCCCCAGCAAGATGCACTGAAACCAGAAGTGCTTCTTCCAGCCAGACAGAGGGCAGTACTAAAATAGGTATCTCCAGCTTTCGTTCATTCCTTCTGCCGCATTCTCTGGCCTGTCCTGGGGTCAGAGTGTCTGCTGGCAGCCCTGCTCTCCAGGAACAGGAACTGACACCAGCATTAAGGTGCGCTCAGCCTTCACATGACTGAAGCTGAGATAAGCTTCCATGGTTCAGGTCTCGCAAATGGGTAGACTCAGTTTGTAACCAGTGGCAGCAAAGCTTCTTGCCTCTCATTCCCAGGGCTTATCGTTGTGTGGCCATTCCTTGCCAGAAGATATAATACGGCCTTGAATTCGTCACTGCAGAGCTCCTCTGCACACCCACTGGTGCCTCCCCACAAGATCCTGTAGCAAGTGTCACCCCACAGGCACCACGGGAAGCATGGTCCCAGGCAGCAGCTAACAGGAAATGTAGGAGGGCTCATGAAGCCTGCGGTTCATGACTTCCTGCTGTGCACGTGTCAGGTACAGAGCTCTTGTTCTGCTTGCAGACCACTGCCTTTCGCAGTCAAAGGTGGAGAAAAGGGGCAGGAAACTCACAAGATAGGGTATTTTCTGCTTGCAAGAGGACTAAGCAGAGAGCTATATGCCATGCCCTGGCTCTCTTCAGTTGAGGAGGAAAATGAGGAGCTGAAACCGAACCCAAGAGTATACTGCTGCTAACACCCTGACTAAACCACAGAACACTCACAGCCTAAGAAGCCAGCAACAGGGAACCAGCAGAAGGTAAAGGCTTGCTGCATGCTTCATAGAAATGTCAGTTGCAGGGAAGAGCTCAGCTGCAGCAGAGTAGGTAGCTCACTACACACTTACTGGACAGGTGCTTGTTTAGCTGCTACTCCAGAAAGCCGTAAGCACAGTTCAGCCGTGTCACGGGCTCTGCACAACTAGTCCCAGGTGATGAAGTAAAGGAGCCTGGCACAAAGCAGCACCTGAAGGTATCCCCACCAAATAAGCCAGAAGAGCTGATCTCATGGCCTGTACAAGTAAACCACTTCACAGAAGCTACACCAAGCCTTAGCACCTCCAAAGAACTCTTACAACAAAACACTTATCTCCAGCACCAAAATGTCCCACCACACCTGCACCTCTTTCACATATTCCAGGCTAGGGATGGGACACCTCCACAGCTGTCCCCAGGTGTATGCAGGTGTATGCCTCTTAAACGGTTACCACACTTCCTCTCCAAAGGTACTCACGTGGAGGGAAAAGCCTAGAAGTTCTCAGACAGCCCGTTATCATGCCTCCCAGCCCAGGAGGATATTTTAGCCAGGCAGCAGGGAGGCTCAACAGTGACATAGCTCTACCTCAAGACTCTCAGTCCTCTTTTTCTCTGAAAATCACCCAGATATGAGCATAGTACTTTGTATTAAGGCTATGACTTCTCACTTAGAACTCATTCTCTTAAGCCCTGACAGCCCTACTCAGTGGCAGTTGAGTCAGAGGAGGAACCCTCACTCCCCCTCGGGTCACAGTAAGCCTTCTCCTCTCCCAGGAATGACCAGTGTTACCATAACTGCTCTCAAGTCCCACTTCAGCTGCTGGCTTTGCAGAGAGCACTGATAAACCTCTAGCCACGCACAATGGACAGAGCAAACCAGCCCAGCAAAGAGGCTGGCCCAGGGTCTGTGCTCACCCTGCTAACCTGAGCCCACCAGCTGCGAGTGCACACATGGCCACTGGGCCCTTCTGGAATCTGTATGAAACCTCCTGCATGCACGTTTTTAGCTCAGGGACCAAAATGTCTTTCCAGTCTCCTTTGTATCAAAGTGTAATGCAGATACATAAATGTCATACCATCACAGGTATGAGCTAAAATCCTCTTCACCCACTCTTATCTTTATTCATTTACCATTCATATTACAAAATAAACTACAAAATATTTACTAAATGCAACTTTAAATATTAAAAGCCCTAAAACAAGCTGCAGAAAGCTAAAGCAAGAACAAGTAACACTATAATTCCTGTGTCCATGGCTGGAGGAAAAGTTAAAGCAAAGTGACTGAACTCTGGAAGAAGAGGAACTTCCTTCATTGCAAGTTATGTCAGGGCCTCTGCCAATATACCAGAAGATAAAATAGCCACTTTTCTAAGGCAAGATAAAGGATTAATGTTTAACTCCCCAAGCATGAGGATAGTGCCTAATGATCAAAATGGAGGTCAGATCTCTCACTGTCTTTGGCTCTGGTAGCTCACTCTTTTTCTACCTGTCTTTTACGCCAGATACTCTATTTTACCCATTCAAGTGTTGCTCTAAAGGGGTCTTTCTTCTCTTGGCTCCAAAGCTCCCCAAAAGAGGAATTTGTAGACAATTCCAAAATTAGAAGGATTAATATCATTGTTAATCAGATTGTTGTTGTTAATCAGACTGCTGGGAGATTTGGATATCCAGAAAAATATTTTGTCGCAGGATAAGTCTGGTATCCTTTGCGTCGTGAGACTCGTATTACAAACAGATCTGTGCTGAGAAAAAAAAAAATTCTTCACAAGCATGTAGTCGTAGAAAACAGAGCTGAAGTGGACCTTGGAAAGGTCATGTAGTACATTCCCCTGGTTCTCAGCTGGATGAGGATACCTTATAGATGGTTGTCTAATCCATCCTTTGAAACTCCTGGTAATGGAGATCCTCCCCCAGAAATCTATTTTGCTGCTTCATTTGCCTGTAAGAAAAAGACTTCTTGACCTGCTGCAATTTAAGACCAAGTTTTCTTGTTCTAAACATGGTAGAAACTGAATAGCTTACTCCTTTCTCACTTGCTTTTTCACTCTCCCCCACACAAAGGCTCTCACATCTCCCCTCAGTCTTTTTCCTGTCTGCATTAGACAGGACCAGTTCTTTCAACACCAGGTAAGCATTTAATTACATACAACTTTACAACTTTTTTTTTTTCTTCTGTCAAGGAGATCATGGATTTGATGCTGAAGCCAGAGGGCCATCTGAAGCTTCAGAAGCAGAGAAGAAAAACATGCGACAAAACCACATCAAACCAGTAAGCCCATGTTGTCTCACTGGAACTTTAGATCCTTCTCGATATACTCCATTCAGAAAACAAAAAGATAATGAGGTGCAATAAAAATAAATGAATCGCAGATAGATGCAGATTTCAAGGTTCAGTGCTCTATAGCCTAACCAAGAGTCACTTGAAGAAGAATGGCCACAGGGATGAACCTCCGTCACTACAAATCTTCTGTACCTGGACCATTTGAAGCATTCTCTAATTTTCTGCAACAAAAGCTGCTATTTCATAGCTGAGCATGGTTCAAGCCTAGGGCAGCAAGGGTTCCTCTTTGAAACTTTCCCGTGAATCATAGAGAGGAGAGTCTGTCATCCTGCCCACAGCAGCCACTTAGGGTCTTCCTCTTGGGTGGTTTGGAGTTCGCTGCTGTGTGCGTGGCCTAGGTCGTGGGGGTACTGCTTGCTGCTGCATCTGTGGCTGTGGCAGAGGCCTCTGCTGCACATGCAGCTTCTTCGGGGTAGGGTTGGAGGGTGGCTGAGGGATCTCCCGGACTATCATTTCTGTGTCCACCTGGCGAATTTGCATCATTCTCTCTTCATCTGCAATGATAGAAGGCCCAAGCAATCAGGCACAGACTAAAGTCTGACCAGAGACAGACTGTTATTTATGGTGAGCACCTGGGGAAAAGTTTTTGGCCCAAGCAAGAACACATTAAATGCTGGTCTTTCCTGGAAGGCCGCTGTCAGTCTCAGATAGCCCTGCTACTCCAGTGGAACAACCGAAGTCAGCATTGCCCGCTCCCATCAAGCAAACCTGAAAGCTTTTTGGCTGTCTATCTGAGGTCAAGCCACATGTGGACATTTGGGGCAGCTCTGCCCTCTCCATTCTGGGGGACCTGACTCTGCTGGGGAGGTCCCATTTGTGTCCAGCAGAGATCCCCAACCTGAGCAGCTCTCTCATGTGAAATGGTTCACTGAAGGGAAAATGACATGAACCTACAGGCAGCAACAAAAAAATGTGTCTTGTCACTAACCATGCTGTGATGGTCCTGAAAATTTCCAGGCATCTGGAAACCTGAATTTCTACATTTTTCCAGCATTAATTTCCTCTCATTCATAAGACATAAATTCATGCTAATTGATTTTTAACGACTGACTTATCGTTTCTGATATGTCAGTCATTTTAGTTTAGGAACTGAGGAGTTTACCACTTTACTGGACACTGAAATGACCTTAAACATACACTGAACTGTTTCAGACAAGCTGGTCTCTCTCTTATCTTCTCATTTTCCCTCACTTGTGCGCTTCTTGCTGAAGCCAGACCCCAGAATTGAGAATATGCTATCACTGCACTTTTGAAGGCAGTGATTTATCTTGATCAAACAAGAATAGACATAATGTAAACAATACTTAACTACGTTCCCACTGGCATTGTGCTCACAAACTATGCCACGCTTTCTGAGATGGTAATCCGTGCTTGTACTATCATCAGCTTTACTAAAGGACAGGTAAAACACTTGTCTATTCTTTCTGGTCATAACTTATGGGAGAAGTGAGAGAGCTCAGAGAGTGACCCATGCACAGATGGAGCAAGATTGCACTCCCGTTCAGTAAGGGGATAGGTTATGCTCACCCTAGCTGCCAGCCTGGGCAAAGCACCTTTGAGATATCAGCTGGAGTTTCTTTCAGACTTTACCCTCTTTATCTGGACAACACTGTTGTGATCTGTAAAGGAGCTTTTAACTCCATACTGTAGTTTGGCAACAGACTCACAGAGAGATTGACACTTGTTTAAGACCACACAGGAAGCCTGGCACAGTTTGAAGGTCAGGGGACTTGAAAGCAAGCCTTTGAGGCCAAGTTGCCTTCTCCAGCTGCAGCACGACCTCCCTGTTGTTTTAGACTCTTCTTCAATGTGGGTCAGCAGACTCACCTCATACTGCAGCTCAGCATCCTCTTCTTTAAGTCTGTCTATCCACCCAAATTAGGGTAGGCAACTCGTGGGTTACACCAGGAGTTGTCACCAAAACAAGCCATACTGAGAGAAGGGTTTGACAAGTCTGAGAACCTGAGTTCTCTCTCAGACTCAGTTCTGCAGTCTGAGAAGCCTGAATTTCAACAGATGAATTCTCTGTCCTTTCTGAAAACCCAGTCTCTTTAAAGTGTCCCATAATGGACCTCCAGCATTGATGGCACTTCAGCAACTTTATTTTTCAGGGAGGACGGGTTGTATGAGATGCCTGCACGAATTCACAAGAGACAAACAAAAAAAGTCTTTCTTGCCCCTTCCCCTACTTGCCATGTTTCTAAATGTGACTAGAGATTTCATGGATCTTAATTTTACAATTGCATAAACAAAATGAAAAAAATCTGCTGACAGGAACCCAACATCTTAGATTTATCCTCATAATTGTTCATGGCAGGTGGTCAGGGCCAAGTTTTGGAAGAACAGTTCTTCCTTCATGGATAAACAAAGGGGCTCAAAATCCTTTTGTTCAAAGCATATATCAGAAACCCAGACTGACAATGGCAGCTGACGCGCTGGGATTCACCACCTCCCAAACAAAGTTTTCACTCATGCTGAGACAGATAGCATGCTCCTGCTCCACAGGGAAGCTCTAAGATTTTACTTGGCTGGAAAATAATATAAAGTCCTTAAACACTTACCATCTTCTTCAAGCCTTTCTGCTCTCTTCTTCCTGATACAGTAAATAAGCAATATTATGAAGATAACAAGGAAGATTACGCCTCCTACTATGCCTATGATGAGATAAAGGTCCAGCTGACCTAGTTAAGAGAGTAAAAAAGGGTGTTACAGGGCGAAAAAATCACTGCAAGAGTAAGCCTGTGGTTCAGGCCTGATCTGACAGAATGTATCTATGACATTAATACATTTTTGATGCTTTTTGGACCACATTAGTGAGAACACTTCTGTAAATAAATAAATTCAATATAGCCTCCTAATTCACTGATAACAAGACCCAAGGAATCTTAAGAGGCAAAAATATCAAATAATTGGCCTACAGACCCAGAAGGAATGGCAATGTTTAGACTAGAAACCAGGAGACCCTACTCCAGGTGTTAAAGTCATCTGACCTGGCACAGAAGTCTACATCTTAGTCATCCAAACTTGCACAACATGTACCTGAGACCATTTCATGGTGTGACGCTGGCTCTTCCTAAAATCAAACGAATAGCTACCTAGTATTCTGTATTTTTCCCCATCGACACAGCCCAGGTGAAAGAACCCACCCTTTGACTTTTTTCCATACACAACAGAAAATTACCAGCCCTCACCCTCACTGGGGAGAATTTGATTTCTTCCATCTGGATTTAAATTATAAAACCAGAGCATTGATGTGTGCCAATACATTTTATTTAAATTATTCCTAGTGTCCTTCCCTGCTAACAATGGACAAACACAAAGACACTTTGATAACACAGCACAATTTATTGATATGTCTCAAACCCTTATAAGGCAGTGAGCATCCAGAGCATGCTCAGCATCTAAATGCTAAAAATATTTTTTTCTAAGTACTTCCTACTGAGCTGGAAACACTGAGACTGGATTGCCTCATACTGCTTTGGCACTTCCTCTTTAATTTTTGGCTTTATGCAAATTTAAAATAGCGAAGAAGGAAAAGAAAAATACGTATATTACACAGATTCACGATTTGTCTGGTGAACAAATATTTATATGACTGTTCTTTACCTTGACCAGATAAGGCTTGCTGGATTCTAGCCTTTGGGCTGTCCAGCCAGCATTTTGTTTATGCTTGAGAATGGGCTCTGCGAAGCAACAAAAGAGCTGAACGGAAGTACACTCGTCTTTGCTCCTTGCCAGACAAAGCTTGAAAGGAGGATATAACACTGGTATAACTCTTAACATTCACTGGGGAAGCCCATAAAAGGCAGGTCATGACACCAAAGTTGAGGTGTCTACATTACAAGGGCCAACGTCTGCCTGGGCTTCCTTTTGGAGATAGTGGAGAGAAATGAGGCCCCTCAGTGATCTGACTCTTCTCACTTATTTCAGCCACTACTTCTGAACTGAAATGTACTTTTGCCCCTTAAGTTCCTGTTCTTCCCAGTCAGCTGTAAGATGAGCCCAATCAGATTTGCTCCTAGTTATGCTTACATGAAAAGCAAGCTAAGTTGAGTCTCATCTGAAGCTCACTGGCAGTCAAAATTTAATATGATTGTCCTCAAATTCAGGTCAAATTAGGCGCTTCTAAGATGGAAATTCTACAGCAGATGAATTTTGAATAGACACTTCATATTCCTTAGTTCCAAGAGCTCCCACTGAAATGCAGGATGGGAGAAGTTTAGAGTATGTAAACATGGATTTTATCTAATTCTGCCTGGATAGAGGAAAAGTGAGACAGTAGCCAAGGGCAGCAGCAGTGGGTACATGAACATTTCTCCTTCCTGGGGCATCAGGGTTGGACTCAGCCTGGTATAGAAGGTAAAAGATTGACCCCATGGCAGCATGCAGGTCAGTCTCACCACTGTGAGGCTCAGCATACTAAGGGCCAGCAATGGTGGACAGACTTCGTAACTTTAAGAACAGTACTCATACCTGTTACCCAAGGGCTTCAGTTCCCTCTAAGTGATACTCATGATGATACTCACTATGATACTCACCTACTCCAGTTCTCAAAATATTTTGACACTCTCAGACACTTTACTGATTTTTCATCACTACTATTTCCTGGCCGGCCTCTGAAGCAGACAGACTTGCTTCCCTAAGATGTTCAAGGATGGCAGTAGAGTGGGAGGGGCGGTTGACTGAAACTTGAGGGATTTTTAATCTACCATGGAGCAGTGCAATATCCTATCCCCATACAAGAACATCTGTGAAGTTTTTAGTTTAAGTAAAAAAGGTAGTGCTACGTGGTTTGGGTGTTTTCTCACAGTTTTACACATGGTATATTTGTACCATAATGTGTCAATGTGTCAAACATTTTACTACTTCACTGTTGGTAATTTGAGAGAGAAAAGCTCTTCCACTCAACTCACCCTGTGCAAAAAGCAAGAACAAAACTTCTCAAGAGTGACCAGTTAAACCAAAATATCTAGCTGAAGGATCATGCCTGCTTGCACCAGCAATGCAGGCCTAAGCTTACCCTGTCCTTCCTTTGGGAAGTAGTGCTGGTTTTAAAGGAGTAAGTAAGGATAAAAATGAGGGGAAAGTTCTTTCCGCCTCTTGCAAACTACTGTGTGCCATTAAAACACTTTTGCATGCCTGCCTCCTCAGTTTCTTCATTATTTTGTTGCTTTACCACTACTGATGGTTGACACCATTTGAATCTGTCAGGATACCTCTTGGTCTGTAGTGATGGAGGGCAGGTTGCACTGGTGTGAGTGAGCAAGATTCTCTCTCTCGTTCCCTAATGCCCTGACTAGCCTGGTCTCTGTCAGGCTGCAGTTTCCCCTCAGAAACCTCCTCCCCAGGTGGAGGCAACATGGCAGCGTGCCCGAGGCTTCTCTGCCACCCATGGGACTCTCACCCCCAGCCAAATCTCTCCATTCTCTAGCAACCCCACTGGCCCACAGGCCACAGGTCCCTGCTGGTGGTGGCGCTCTGCCACAGGAAGGGAAACACCACAGGGACAAGGGGGAGCACAGCCCCCATCGCATCCCTCCGCCCCTGCCTTTGTGCTGCTGGGGCAGAGGTGCTATAAGGGTAGTGGTGGGGCAGGCAACAGCGAAGTGGGGAAGGCAAAGGTGCAACAAGGCTCTGAAATGCCGAGCAGAGCGCACAATTTGCATCCAGGATGCTGCAATAGTGTCACCTGCCAGTAACGGCAAGGTCCAAGGTCGTTAGACTCACAATAGTAGAGGGTACTGGGAACCCTTCTGGCATCTGGAACAGCCCTGGGGATACGTACAACTACACCAGGCTCTGTGGCGCAGTGTTAGGAGAATCGGGCAAAAATAGATTTTCTACCTGCACAATCAATTTTCTTCTCAACTGTTTTTTCACTGACTTGGTTCTTTACCACACATCTGAACGTCCCAGAATAAGGTGTAAGAAATTCCACTTTTGTTGCATTCTTTTGGATTTTTTTGATTTTATCTCGTATAATTTCTGTCATAAATATATGGTCCTTAGTCTTCTGCTTCCCTTCACATCTCACCAACATGGATTTATTAGTACAGTTAACAGTGAGGTCTGGCTGAGGGACAGGTTCTGAAAAAGAAAAGAAGGAACAGACATAATCTGAGAGATTTCTCCTCTTAAAAAGCTCAATTATTAAGCAAACAGAGAATTGGCCATCAGTAAGCAATGAAAAAATAACACCAGCTAATGAAGCTAGAGAAAAATGAAGAGCAAATGAGATATTCACCAGGGAGCTAGCGTAGCAATAATAAAGAAAATGCAGTATTTGGCCTAACAGATTTCTGATCTCTCCTTCTGTACCATTGTACCATTCTCACTGCTGTGTTGGATGATTCTTTCAAAAAAAAAAAAAAAAAAACAAGAGGAGGTGATTGTTTATGTCAATGAGAGTATCAGTACTCTACCTTCTCCTGGACCCATTTTCAGTTCAGTATTATCTAAATTTATAACCTGAGTTTTATCCCTAATATTACTTCTCAATAGACGTATGTAGAGTTCACATCATAATGATCTTTACAGTCCAGATTGTTAACTATATGAAGTCCAATCTGAAAATCAAGTGCTGCTATAGTTTACTTCGTTATTTTGGGGCCAGATGAGGAAGGGGGAAAGATTACTGCAATGGGGACAGAGGTGAGAAGCTGTGTGCAGCCACAAGGCTGCTTGCTTTGCATATAAATGGATCACTATCACTATGCAGTTCAAATGACTGGTGAAGGGTTCGAGGGCCATCTACCTAGTCAGCTCCAACCCTGCGGCCAACATGCACATTCGTATCAGCTACTCTGTTACTCTAGAGATACTCAGGTGGTCATGTCTGTGGCCCAACCAAGCCAGAGTAGGGGAGGAAGATTTTTGTTGGGGAGGACATGATAGACTATGGACTTGGAATCACCCTCTGCAATTCTCATCTTGTGGTTTTGGCGCAAATGAAGTCAGCTCTTATCTGCCATGCCCTTCAGGTAGCTACTTGTGGTGCTTAATGGCACTCAACTAGCATGACAATCACAGCATGAAAATTCATCAGAAAAACACAAATTAGAAAAGAGAAAACAAAACAAACAAACAAACAAATCAAACAGAAAAACCTCTTAGGTCTTGATGATATGAAGGAGAAAATTAGTTTACATTTTCTGTCTCTTACAAATACCTTGCTACCTTTCATTTGCGGATTCTCTATCACTGGTGATGCTGCATGAAACAGAAAAGCCTTGCAGGACTTTCCTCAGTCACAGTCAGTTGTCAGGAACATCATATGGAAAAACCATCTACAGATATAGGTGGTGTAAGCTATGGGGTATGTACATTTTAAAGCCAGGGATGGCTGACTGAGCCAAAAAAGTCTGAGTTCACAATGCGATATCTGCAATCTCCCTTTCTTCATTAGACATGCTCCTCTTCTGCAAACTATAGTATATCTTTTTGGCTACAGATATAGGTGGTGTAAGCTATGGAGAATGTACATTTTAAAGCCAAGGATGGCTGACTGAAGCAAAAAGTCTGAGTTCACAATGTGATATCTGCAATCTCCCTTTCTTCCTCAGACCTGCTCCTCTTCTGCAAATTATAGCATATGTTTTTGAGGGAACCCCAAACATGAAACACTGCACAGTGGAGTTCAGGTCCTGATGATGGAGTTGTGGGATTATGTCATCAGATAATTATTATTTTTTTTAAAAAAGCAACTGTTTTCCCAGCTATAATAATAAAGTATAATTTGGCTGACAGATGACCCTAGCGCCTCAAAGTTTCTAAAGGCTTTTACTTTCAAAACTACATATCAGAGGTGGAGGGATTTCCCCACCTCACAGTAGATGAACAGTTGCATCACATAGCTAGGTTACAGCCTATTGCCCTTATTCAACCCAGATCACCCAAATGAGTTAAGCATGAGTCAAATAAAATTCAGGACCCTGATGTGGACAGGACTCCGAATGAGTGGACAGTTTGTAGCAACAGTTCCCAGTAGTGAGACACGCTCTCTTCTCAATGGTTCTTTAGATAAGGGGAACATTCCTTATGTAAATATCCTTTATGTAAAGGCTAAAGTGTAAGATTCCTACTACACAGAATCAGTGCTAAAAACCATTCCTATTGTCTTTGCTGCTGACTCGCCGAAACATTGTTTCAGTGGTGCCAGCTGATATCATGGACTCAGTGTTGTTTGGTAGAGATGTGCACATCGTCTGAGGAAGGTCAGGGCAAAATCATCCTCTGGCTGACCCACCCTACATTATGGCTTTATCATCTGGAGATGTGGTATCAGGCATAAAGGGACAGAATAGCCAAGCCCATCTTCCATGTCTATCCCAAAAGCTTTGAGTTGCGATTTTTCCATTCTCTGAGGACAAGGCACAGCACAGGAATGATACCTCAGTAGGTTGAGCCTGCCTCCATGCTTTGAATCCGTGTAGCTGACTACTCTGGACTTTAAATAGCATGATCTTTGCATTTGCTATATTATGCTATCCAAGAATGGGATGCAAGAGTCTCCTCCCCCTGCACATACAAATCCTTGACTTTTTTGGTGCATCTTTGAGCAAGGGGTGTTCCTGGATATTTGGAATAGTGGAGGGAAAAACCATGAGTGCAATCATATCATTTAAATACAGACATCTAGTATCACCTACACTCCTGAGACCTCCGTATGGAGTCAGCAGATATAACACAAAGATTAGCAGCTACAGGTCAAAAGATACAACTCAGTACAGACAAAATGGTCAATGTGGGTCAAAGCCCACATTGAGGCAAGTACAGAACGCAGCAGCAGCACATAAAAGTAGGTTATTCAGGCTGCTGCTGGAAGCAACACAGCCGTTTTCAGCCCAGTTCACAGTAAGCACTCTGAGCAGTGTGGGCACTGTGTGTCACACTGCAGCATGCCCGTACCCACACAGGTGCTCGTGGCTGTTTTCTTGAAAACTGATAGCTGATAAAGAGAGGAGCCAAGCTGGAAAAGAAGACCAGAGGGATTCAAGAGCAGCAGTGCAAGGGAAGAAAAGAAAAACAGATTGCTGTCAGAAGAAGGAAGAAAGAAGTATATCTCACTGCAGTTTCCCCTAATATGGAAAGCGGGGAGAGGAGCAGGTGGCAGCGCAAACACCAAGTCTTATTCAGCTGTGGTTGGGAATCATATGAGAAGAGCAAAAACTCACCCTGAACAATGAGCATGGTTTTCTCTTCTGTCTTGAACTTTCCATCATGGTCATAAACAACTACTGAGTACTTTCCACTGTCGCTTTCTACCAGCTGCTGGATTTTCAGAGTCCCATTCAGGAATATCATACATCTGCACTGGTCCTTGTTAACATAATACTTGGGTTTTTTATCTTTTATCTGAAGTAACTTCTGGTCTCTACTCCACGTTATTTCACGTATATTCCCGCTAAAAGCAGCAGCAACGTTAAGAAGAACCGAGTCATTTACTGCCACGTAAATCGTTTTGTTGACAGCACCTTTAAAGGGAAGCACAACCAACCTCATCAGTGCATCTCGAACAGCCCCCACAGGTCCTGTCAGCAGCAGCAGCAGCAGCATCAGTTGTGTTTTCTACTCCAGTTTCCCTAAGCTTCTCTTCATTACTAAGACTGCTTTCGTTTCATGCTCCAAAGTTTTTCTTGACCCTTAATTAGTTAGATGCCAGCACTTGATTCAGAGACAGTAGGAAGTCAGGGGCCTGGTTTTCAGAAGTTGCCTTTATAGTTTGCCTGAGTTATTTTTACAGATTTTGAATGTCTTGATTCATGGTCACCCACAAACTTACAAACTTAACTCTGAACTATTCCCTTCTAAAGATCAGGTCTGATCCATGTTGTGTACTTGATACTGCTGACAAACAGAGTGCTCATCACTTTAAACATTACTGTGGGTAGCAAGAAAATGAACTAGTAGAGGCCCTAGGTAGAAGGAACAGTAATAATAGTGATGGCAGTAACAGCAGCAGCAAAAATTTGCCAGTGTCAAGCTGTAAGTGAGCATGAGACACGGCACTAGATGAAGACCCAGCACTGGCAGCTTCCAATGATAGTTTCATGCTGATCTCCAGGACCCCGTACCTCCAGATTACTTGCAGTTGGTATCTCTAACACAGAGGTAAATAAGGGGTGAAGAAATGAACAGCTAACTGCAGCCTTTGAACTCACAAGGCATTGGTGATATTAGGAGATAAGCAAACAAAAAGATTTTTTTTTCTTTGAAGATCTCATTTGATCATAAATTCCTTCTGCAAAATAGTTAAGAATAACCTGCTTCACAAAGGTGCTAGCAAGACTGGGTAGCACTTACTGTGTGACTGTTGAAGATGAGTGTAATTAAGAAAACTAAGGCTACTAAGCATTATTTGATTAGCAATAGAGATCACCTACTCTTCACATGGCACCTGGGTCTCATGCCTGTCTATCCCCAGCACTGCTTTGCAACCTTTGCAAGGCACACTCATCTCTGTAGTGAACCTAAAGAGCCCACTGGGGCTTCTGTATGCACGTGTTGTCTGGAGGTCATTTCAAGTAAGGTAGTGTCTCCACCCTGATAGTGGGTGGGAAAATTTCAAAAAAGCGATGGAAAAGTACTTACAAGTTTCAGATTAAATGTGCTCTTCAGTAACTGAATATACCTTCAGAATCAGAACTTACTTCATTTGTCATTTTCTATATTTTTTTCTCTTCAATTTATAGAGTATAGCCGTTAAGTAGGATCAGATTTCTCTTCACATTATCAGGTAGAGCTGATTCTGCTCTAATGTTGCATATTTTAAGCACTTCTTCCCCACAGAGAAAAAAAAATGTTTATACATTTTTTTATTACAGTTCTTCAGTATAGAATATAATTCTTTATTCATTGTGCCTAGGACAATCATAAAGTATGTCATAGAAGGGAAACTGAAATCAAATTGCTACTTCATAAAACTAACACTATTAGAGATAACCAAAGAATTAAAATTCTCTGCGGCAGGAAGATTACACTGAAGTGTTCCCAGCAAGTTGCCCAGCAGTCTAAGGAGAAGTTATTCGTTCGCTATCACATTTCTTACAAAATATTTGAAATATCTAATGAGATGTTCTGAAAAAAAACTACCAGTCAAACAATTTGAGAACTATCGATCTTCCATAGAGATGACACACCAGATTATATTCAAATATTTGAATTCTGGTACTTGTTTCTGTTCGCAGACCGACAGATATTTAGAGGTAGTAGAAGGATTTATTCCTTCATTTTGAAGTCAAATATATATATATATATTTCTTTTTCTTGGAAAATTCAGTGGCATCCCTGTGGATATATCACCTAGCCATATCTGGTCACTGTTTCACAAATCTGCAAAGTCTCACTGACAGAACGCTGAAGATCCTACATGAATGATACTGAAAATCTGTTTAGATAATAAAACAGCGTTTCTGCTAACGCCAAAAAACGTGTTCTTCGAAGGGATCGGAACCAGTGACATGGAGCTCACTTGCAGTCACAAGAAAAATCAGATCATTCACAGGCACAGAGATGAAAACAAAGGCTCCAAAATAGCTTCATAAAAGTAAGGATGTCTTTTGTTTTAAGGTTTCGTATATATTTGAAACAAGTTGTTCTATTCAAGTGAATGATCTTTGGTTTTGCTACACAGGATGTTTTGTATATCAAGTACAAAAATAAATTCCTTATTTATCTATTCATTTTGTTCTGAAGGAGAAAAAAAGCATTAAAAAGCCATACATATGATCTATAGTTGAATGAATGGAAATAAAATCTATGAGCAATGGTATTGTCTGCATCTTTTATAACCTTCTCCAATCTGTGAGTTAACACCTTAATTAAATTTTTAGATTAACATTTTTAAAATAATGAGTGCAATAATGCACAAGAATACAACAAATATGTATTTTCTTACTGCTTTTCACAGCCTAGACTCCTTCAACTCCACTTGCGTCTGTCAGGATGTATTACTGTTTTTGTTAGAATTTATGGAATAATACAATTTGCACTTTCAACAGATTGAGCAAATCTTTGATAAGAAAAGGAAATTACATGAGATAATGGCTCTACACAATGCATCATGAAATGGATCTCAAACACACTACAAGCTACCTTGAAAGCAGAGAGAAAACAACTTGCTGACATTTCTTATTATACATGTGTAAAATTAAGGTTCATAAACTTAAAACCAGAACTGTTTACAGATTATTATTATAATAATTGGAATAAGAAAACTCAGGTCCGGCCCTGTCCCTGGCTGAAAGCTAATAATAGCAATACCCTAAAGATGTCCAAATACTTTATCCATCAGGAAAGCAGAGCTAGTCTGTTATCAGTCGTGGCCCACCAAGCTTTAAATGCTTTAAAAGGCAATGTTAGCAAAGCTACGCGAAAAAGTAAAAAAAAAAAGATAATGCAAACTCACATTTTACACTGGAAAATAAAAGCAGTAAGAACTTGACAAGGAAAAGTCTCCCAGAGTTCATTTTCAGGGTCAAAACTCCAGCGCCTTCTCGCCCAACGATAGCTGCTAGCAGGTGCAAAACTGTTGTGCTGCGCGGAGGCAGCCGTAGGATGTGCCTGCACAGCCTTCCTGCCCCGCTCTCCTCCTCCCATCGCTCGCCACAGCACATCTCCTTTCTTGCCCCACCACAGCAGTGCTGACAGAAATACTTCCTCCTCTGCTGGCTCCTCCAAGATGGGTGACACACGTCGAGCAGGGAAATGGGCGCTCCCCGTGGGAGGAGGCACCAGGGTCCGCCAGGGTCCAAGGCCTGTGGGAGAGTTGGTCTCCCACCACCGTCTTGCGAAGGCATCACACAGAAGAGAGAGGCAAGGCCTCCTGCCGAAGCCATCACATCGGCCACTCCGTGGAGATCTCTTCTCCGGAAACGATGGAAACATGGCCTCGGTCTAGGCAAAAATCGTCCCCTCAGCTGATGTTTGAAAGGTGGTGAGAAGAAAGCTGGGTGAGGGTGTAGTGAGCAGCAATAGGCAATGGCTAGAGATGGTGAGGATTTTGTGCCAGTTCCTCCTTGGCACAATCTTTTTGCAACCACAGTCAGTGAAATCTCCCAACTAGATTCAGACAAAGAGAGGACAAGAGAGAAAAGCTGAAACACATGAAATGTTAAATATTAAGTAAACCTTTCCCTCTAATCCCTGTCATTCTCCTTGAGGTAATAGCAAAACCCTACAAGACCCCACTCTTTCTCTGCCTCTGTCATATTTGGAGCGGTACCAAAGCTGGTAACAACTTCCCTTCTTGCATAAAAGGATAAAAATAATTGCTAGACGTAAAACACGAGGAGATCAGTCAGCCCTGCTGTCTCCCTGCAGCAAACCATGCTTTCCTTCCTTCTTTTTACCATTGTTTCCTTGCAAAGAACTGCAGCAGAGGTACACGCAAAGGCGAGAGAAAGCTGTGGGCGCAAGACACGCTTTGGATCCAGGCTTTGGACACTCACGCTTGGGTTTCCCCCAGTGGGGACATTGCCAGCACGCCCCAGGCTGGGCCCTGGCAGTACTGTGGGACACTCTTCCTGCCCGAGCTGGCAGTGATGGGCCAGGTTTGTACCACCAGGGCTGCAGGGAGTGTCACCAACCCTGACCTCTCCTGCTCTTTGCATGAGTGACTTCTGATCTTCACCACACATCAACAGCAGGCAGGAAGGTTTGCTTCCCAGGGCATGTGGTGCACATGGAGCGTGCATAGAGCCTTCCCCTGGTCCATCTGCCACCCTGGGAGGTTGGTCTTGAAGAAGAGGGCCCTCACCAGTGCCCTTGTGCTGCCCCAAGGCTCTGAGGCAAGGAGCAGGTGAACGTGCTAAAGTTCATAAAACAGGGCAAAGGGAGGCCCCTGACGTGCTGAAACCACTGCCCTCACTCTTGTCTTGGAGTTTTATTGAGGCAGCACCATTTAAAAGCACCTTCCAGCTAGAGTATCTGTTACCACAACCAATGTCTCAACAGTCAGGTTCAGGATAGTGTCACCGTTCTTTTTGGCCATCCCTCTTTATTTTCATTACAGAAGAATAGACTTTTTGTTGACTACATTTCTCTTTTTTTCCCTGTACACATCACTTCGGGCTAGTCATAAAAACTTGCTGAACCTTAGAGGCCACTTTGCAGAGCTGCAACTCTATAGTGTAAGCACAGTGGAAATTTACTGTAGATGTTTTGTGCCATGCATGTAAGATGCAGTAGGTTGGAACTATAGTTCTAGTGGTTATTTGTGTTATGAATCCTACCTTAAGCTATGTAATTCACTGTATCTTAATAAACGCAAACATCTACTTTCCTCTTTCACTGAGGTTGCTTAAATAATGCTTTTTTAAATAGATGGTAGCAAATTCATGTCAATGTTAAATCCTGCTCATCTTCTCTCCAGCTCCGAAGAGCCTCTCCATCTACAGCTGATTCTCGAGAAAAAAGCAATAAGTGTTAAATCCTGCTCATCTTCTCTCCAGAAGAGCCTTCTCAGAAGAGCCTCTCCATCTACAGCTGGTTCTCCAGAAAAAGCAATAAACAATCATTTGCTAAATAACAAAGTTTTAAACTATCAGCAACAGATTAAGGAACAAAATTTATCAGAAACAAAAGCATCAAAAGAAAAAGATTCCCAAGGGCTCAACAGCTGGGCAGGAATATATCCAAACAAATATGTAGCTTGCTCAGCTGTCTTCATGTCTTCCTATCACAGCAAGAGAAAACTTGACCAAGCCTATGCCCGGCGAGCAAAGGGAAGTGGCAAGTTCTTATCGTTCTCCAGTATGCCGAAGCTTGGTCAGAATCTTGGCTTCCTACCACTCTTCCTCCATCACATTTGATACCACTCATACCGGAAAGTGACATCAGCAGAAAATCTTGATAGCCAGCTAGAATTAGTCAATACAGAAGGAAAAAAAAGAATGGTATTTCTCTTTTGCCTCTGTGAAAAGATTTCCTTTTGTTCCTCTTGGCTGGCTTATCAAAACCACCACAATATATTCCCTGCAACTGGCTCACAATAAGGATGGAGAGGAGTGAGCAAGACATGGCCAATGACCAAGGCTGCACATCACCAGAGAGGCTTTTGTTCAGGCTCAGGAGAACTGTAATCTATCACAAGGAGAAAAGCACTTGTTTGGGGAATGTTTGGCATCAAATGTCAGAGTAAATAAGAAGAAGTGGCAATGGGTGCTGTTTTCTGGAAGAAAATTTCATATTTTACAGGATGACAGAAGATAGACCTTTTCTGAATTCCCAGGAGACTCCTTACTCTTGAGGGAGGAAAAAAAAAACACAAAACAAACACAAAATAAACAAAGAAACAAAAAACAGTATATGACTCACCTTTGCTTCTGCACCCCTGATAATTATTCCACTGTCTTTTCTTCCTTCTGAATCCTCCACAGGGGTCCCTTTGTCCTTTAAGGGATCCTTCTCTTTTAGTCCTGCCATGATTAATCCTGTGGTGAGAGGAAACCAGCAGTAGAAGCCATCCCATCCAGCAGGTGAACTGCTGCTCTGGGCCCAGTGTGCCATACAGGAAAAGTCCTCACACATCCCACGTTTGGCAGGCAGTTCAACATTCATTAACACTGACTGCCAAACAGTCGACAACCCATTTACCTACGTCACTACTGCTCAGGCAAATTCCCCTTGCTGTACTGAATCCTATGATTTCAGGTTTGGCACTTGTTTCAGATGAAAAATTCCTTACGCTAGTAACACTGTGATGAAAATCTCTGTCTTAATAAGCTTTTAATGCTCATTGTTTTAAGTTATATATTCTTTTATGAAAGTCACTGTTGCAATTCTTGTTTATCGTTTGCTTACCATTTTTTTGACTTTTTTCTTTTTTCATTTTTTTTCGTTTCATTTCATTACATGACTTTTACCATCAAATAAAACTTTCACTCCTTAGCCTTGGGAACATGCATCTTGCCTTCAAAAAGGACTTTTTAAAGCAAAGCTGAGCCAGTAACACTTGAAAAAAAATATAGCCACTGAATCGTATTTTTTTTATTCCGTCTCCATATGTGATATGTGAATAGATGGTAATTCCCTTGAATATTCTGTATTTGTAATTCTAAATGACTTGATGAAAATTATCTCTGAGTAATTCTTGATCTGTAATACCTCTAGTTTTTAAAAAATTAACTGATAGTGAAAATATGAGTAGTTGTGATCAGTTTAGATGAACTTCAAAAAAAGCCCACAGAACTCAGGTTCAAAGTTTTTCTTTTTAATTAACATTCAATATTAACTCTAATTAGGAAAAGGAATCCATTAAAAAAGCCCACACTGGCCATCCATATTTGCTATGTACAGATAGACACCTTCCATTTACTGTTTGCCTTTGTACAACAGCATGAGAAGCAGAATACAGATGATGGTTCCCAGTCCTGCAGAGCCTATAAACCAAGCAGACATAGGGCTAGTATCCCCACCTCCTAGAAGGAAGACATTCCCTACATTCTCACAACTGCCCCCAGGAACACACAGAGTAAACTAAAAACCCACAAACCTGTTTTCAGCTCAGTTTGGGGTATCAGACATTCCTAGGTATAGATCAGGAGGTTGCTGAGCCTGACACGATGCCAGACTGGAAGGAAACTTGAAGGTGAGTGGAGGCACAAAGGGATATGGATGCCAGCATTAACTTTTGCAGCAGAATCTCTATCTTCAGAAATATCTGAACATGGAGACGCAGAGGACAGAGAGAAGAGTCAGATACCTAAACTTAGATTGTAAACAGTTTGATGAATTCAGGTTCACCTGGACACCAGGCAGTCAGGCCAAAGGCACAGGCAACATCCAAACAAAAGTCATTGCCAACCTTTGCAATGACTTATCACTAAATTCTGCGCAAGAAGAAAACGAGTGATGCTGCTCTTTTTCCTCCCATACCTGGCAGTGAGCCCATTCTTAGAGCACAACAATTCATTAGCTAGTGTTAAGGAAATGGTTTTGAAGATATGAGATATGCATGAGTGACCTGGTATCCTCCTACTACCCATAAATTACAGGTGAGCTCTTCTTGTTTGGTTATTTTGAAGTGAATTAAAATCATTCGAAGACAGAAAGACAGACAGACAGACAGACAGACAGAAAGGCATGAATTTACTATGCATGAGCCTAAGACCTCAGTTTTTCTTCAGATTCACAGACCATTCCCACCACAGCATGAACACAACCACTGCTCACATTTACAACACAAGCTTCATAGGTGCCCCCTATGTAACCCAATAATTATATACACAGACACTAGGACATCTGTACAGCAACATGGAAAAACATTGGAAGACGGGGTATTACTGTTTCATTACCGGAACATAGATCTTTACTAACATGAGATGATTTTGTAGGGATACATAGATTCTGAAAGGTAAAATACATAGAGGGATCATTTCCCTTTTCTTACTTCATTATTATACATTTTTGCTTTTTGCTTCTACTTATCTCTTTTAGTCAGGTAAGAACTTTCCTATTGTTTCCCATTTATGTTCACCTACAGCATGAAATA